TCCTCAGATTGGGAGGACAAGACAGAGCCCAGACAAGCAGGAGGGACATCCCAAGGTGCCGGAGTTTCAGAACCTCAGGAGTTTGCAGAACAAGGAAGTGGATATCCTGCCCTGAATAGACAGGGATATCTTCCCTGTCTCCAGCAGGACAGGAGCCACAAAACACAACGGAGTTCCGTGGGTGCAGACCCCCGCCCCCGGGTGGCAAGATGTAAAAACGCCGTGAGAAAGTCTCTATGGGACCCAGGGGCCTGCACTCCCACTCCACCCATCTTTAAATCCTTCCTGCACCTGGGAGTGGCCCCAGAAGATCCCTCTTCAATTTACAGAGTGAGGAAACTGAGGCCAGAGAGTTGAGCAGTTGTAGTACGCCACCAGCTTAAGCACGGCAGGGTGGGAAGAATGCAACGAAAGCAGCACACACAATCAGCCCATTCAACCTGACTGGGCACAGGCGTCCAAGCTGGAGGAGAACCCCTCCGGGACAAGCGACTTGTCTCTCCTGCTTGTGTACATGCTTCATCCCTTTTACAACTCCTGGCTGGGAAAAGCTACCCCCTGGCAGAGGACCAGCAAGAGGAAAAGGCACAGAGACAGGAAAGGCAAAGGATAGGTGGGACAACGGAAGCCAGCTGGCTGGTGGGACAGGACCGCTGGGCCAGCAGACGACGGTTAGCAGAACGCCAAGGTCCGGTATGCCAGCCAGGGGGGCTCCTCCTCAGGCTTGGGAAGCCTCGGTGAACTTCTCTGCAGGAGATACAGTCAGAATCGGTGCGGACTGGAGAGCCAGAAGAGGACAGCTGAACATCTGGGGAGAGGGTGAGCTAATGCGGGCAGGGGCGCAGGTGGCAATGGACCCCAGGACAGTAAGGAGGTGACTCAACAGGTAAGGGACCAGACAGGAAAGTGGGCACCGAGAGGCAGAGTCATCGAGACAGTCCATTTCGTTTCTGACCTGCTCTAGTCCTTGGAGCAGAGGTAGAGGCCTTGAGAAACGAGGAGCAGGAGCCCAGGCTGGCCACAGTGTGGACCAGGGACCTCTCCAGACAGTCTCCCTGGGCCAGGACCCCAGCGACAATGGAAAAGGAGAGAGTGGTCCACATCCCAAGCTCCCACTAAAACCTCCAGCATCCACCCTTCCCTCCTGTGAAATGGGAAGCACGGCTGCAAAAACCCTGAAGGTCCCCACCACCGTGGACCGTGGAGAGTCCCGATAGGAGATGCGACGGCTGTGTCACCGACCCATGTAGGCCTGCAGTGAGATGGTTGGATGAGAGACCTGGGTCATCCCGCCACTCGGGTCTCGGAGTCCCATCTGTACAGGACCATCTCAGAGACCCTGGTCCCCATCCACCCCTCTACCGTGCTCAAGGCCTCTCCAGAGAGCAGCACCCCCCCCCAGGTCTGCAGGCTGGGGTGGGGTCTTCAAAGGGCAAAAGCTCTCCTATACATTCAGGACCGTCTTTCCCCAGGAGGGTGGTAGCCCCAGGCCCCCCAGGTGAACCTCACTCCTCAGGCACCACACCTCATTCTGATCTTCCTGTGCAGGGCATGGATGTAGTCGTCGATGAACGGGCACTGCGGGGACAGGCACACAAAGTGAGTGGCCCTAGCGGCTTCGACCCGAGCGGGGACTGGCCCTCATTCCTGGGCGCCAAGGCGATGGGAGCAGCCGCTGGTCCCTCCATAGCGAGAAGGACCTCCACTGGCGTGTCAGGGCTGGCACACCACAGGGCTCAACAACATCGCCAATGGAATGAGTCGCCGAGGGAGCTATGAGGCTGGGTGTACCCGCAGCCGTTACAGCCACCTGCAGCCAGGCCTCCCACTCCCAGGGCCTGGAGTTTGGAAACGTGTTCGCTGAGATTCCCTCCTGCCTCTCAGTGCGGTCACTAGAGTAGGGGCACTTGCACACGGAATCTCGGTCATGGCGGTGTTGGATGTCCCCAAGGTCCAGCCTGATCAGAGGTGGAAAAGGACGATGTGTTGAATGAATGCCAATTGAGGCCGGAGCAGTGGCTCACGCCTGAATCCTAGCACTCTGGGAGGCAGAGGGGTGGATTGCTCGAGGTCAGGAGTTCGAAACCAGCCTGAGCAAGAGCGAGACCCCGTCTCTACTATAAACAGAAGAAATCAATGGCCCAACTATAATAAGAAAAAATTACCGGGCATGGTGGCACATGGCTGTAGTCCCAGCTACTCAGGAGGCTGAGGCAGGAGAATCGCTTGAGCCCAGGAGTCTGAGGTTGCTGTGAGCTAGGCTGACACCACGGCACTCACTCTAGCCTGGGCAACAAAGCGAGACTCTGTCTCAAAAAAAAAAAACCAAACAATTGAGTGAATGGCATGGATGGAGAAACAGATGGCAC